ATATCCACAATGATTTTGATCTGCAATTTACTCATAGGTACTTCTACAACCCTCTGTGAAACAGCTGTCCTGGTTGTACCCCCACATTGCATCTTCTCCCTCAAAGAGTGCAAGTACTACCTTTGGAAACTTTACCTGCAAATTTCTCACGAGACTTATTCCTATCTTTCACTTCCTTCTTCTGTTTTCCTGAGGCAATCTTGCCTGTTATTACCTTAAATTTTAATACATTTAAATGTTCTTAGATCAAGATCTTGCTTAAAAATTCTTAAATTTCAAAATATTACATTGTCTTCTTCACATGTTCATTGACTGTTGAGAATTCAGATTCTTGAAACACATCATCTCTCTACAAAAGCCACAGTGACTTTTCCCAGTATATCATTGATTTAGATCTGGCACTGACATTCATTCTGGTGTCACGGACATTTCCTTTAGTCTTCACAAGAGAGCACATTCCCATAGCTGGCTAATTTACAAGTCTGAGAAGTATCTGTTGCAAACATGCAACAGAAACTTGCTTTAATCTGACAACTTAATTCTCTTACAACTTCATTTACAGAAAGCCCACGTATTTTATTCCACTTCAGGGCTTTAAAAATTTGCTTTTTGCAACTTCTGCAAACCATTTTGGCATTACACAAAACTGACATTAGGAAGACTCTTTACAGCAACACAGAGGAGAATGCAGCACAACATAAATGTAGAGGAATATTAACTGTATGTCACAATTATAAACAAGACGGTAAAAATAATTAAAGTAGACCAGGATGGAGAAGCAGGTAATGACAATAATGGGTTTGACCGCAGAACAACCTAAAAATGCAAGGGGAAGGAGAACAGAATAGACAAGAAATCAGAATTAGGAGATTTACCTGGCAAGGAGAGAGACTACATGAAAATCCTGATGACGCGAGATGACTTGAAAAGGCAACACATAAACTAAAGGAGTAAATACCGATACTAATAAGTATACCAACTGGAAAGCTAAACCAAGCAGAGATCCAGACCAGCAAAGAGAGAGGCTGGAAGTGAGAGGATAGAAGTGAGATGATACAGCAAGTCAGTTTAAGGAAACAAAAAGAGTAAAAACATTTTTCTCCAAAATCTGGACTGAATGCCAACAATGCAGACTAAGCATTTTTTATTTTCAGAATTTGTCACAATTACAAAGCATAGGCTTGTTCCCCTCTATGGCAGAATTACAACATAGTGTTTCTACCTGTTACTAAGAGAAAAGTCTAAGTGATTCCAATCCATAAAGAGGTGTGTCTGTGCCACAAACTGAAGTCTAATTTTGGTTTTTTGGGGTTTTGGTTGGTTTTTTGGGGATTTTTTTGTTTGCTTGTTTGTTTTTTAAAGACCCTGGAAAATGTTGCCATTCAATAGGTTTTCCCATCTCTGCATAGTACAATACAGTAAGGATACACTGCTCCTGACAGAACTGATTTCATACTCATCAATATAGTCTTTTATATTCATCAGAGTATCTATGGAAAAGCACTCGCAAATTTACTTTCCCCAACAATCCTTCACAGTAAGAATATGTTAGTTAGCTTTTTCTGTTTTTAATAACAAATTGAAGCAGAGATATAGGTATATTTATTTAGTAACCTGATAGAGATATCCAGTTTCTTTCAGAGTACTCCACCTACTGAAAGCAGAGCTCCCACTAGCTTCAGATATAGCTGTGAACACCGAGCACTTACTAACATCAGCCTACAGAACCATAAGCTATATATACCACCCCCCAACAGAGGCACCAATACTGTCCAGGTGAAAGGTTTGCTAGAGGTGACTAGTCCAGCATCATGCAAACTTTGATGAATAGTTCTACAGCAGCTTTCAGTTTTCTTAGTTTAGTTTTCCTATGGCATTCTTTTCAACTACAACAGGTAGCACGGAGATGTGACAGAAAGCAGCCCTCCCCTTTACTACATAGCCTGTGTATACAGTTTGCAAAATTAAATTCTGGACATAACAAGACAGGATTCTTATGGGGGGAAAATAGCATATGAACATATAAACCATATATCATAATACATACACAGAGGGGAATTAATTGCAGACTATTTTTATTCTTTAATTTCTTAATGCTTGACTACTTGATTACTTTCATTTTACTACACTTTTGTCTATGCTGTGAAAGTACTGCTTATTCTTTGAAATAACTGAAACACAAAACATCTAGTGAAAAAGATCACTAACAGTAAATATGAATGCAGAATATGCTAAGACAAACAAGTGAACAGAAGCTGTCAGAGCTACGCCAGACAGTCAGCCATTCTGCTAGTGCCACCTGCCGGCACAGCACCTCGAAACACCCAGGTACCGCATTCGACCTGCACCAAATCACGCTTCCTGCAGCAGCTGTACGGATAGTAAAGAGCTGGTTATCATCTGCCTCGAAAGATACAGCAGTAAAACAACATAGTTGTTACTACCACTTGTCACACCCTCAGTGCACACACAAATTCTCATCTATAACTCTTCAGCTGACAATACGTGTAACAGATCAATCTGTTGTGCGAACCCTCTGCCCTGCGGAGTCAGCAGCTGAGAGGAAGGCAATGGAGAGTTCTCACTGCAGTGGAATCCTGGTGATTCACAAGCTTTTTGACACATGGTATTTTAAAAGTTGGGAAAGTAACTGTAATATCAAAGCATTCTTCTTATACGGAGAATGTGACTGAGTGTGGAACTCCTACAATTAACAGAACCTGCAAGATTCCTTTCACCCAAGGGAGATGTCCAAGCAGACCCATCTCCCCAGACATTTAAGAATTCAGAAATGCAGCGAAACCAAAGAAGAATTTGCACTGTCACAATAAAAAGTAGTTTGTGACAAACTATTCAATACTAGGGAAATTATATTCTTGCTAAAGTACCAAAATATTTTTTAAAAAATCCTTGCAGAATAAAAGGCAAGGAAGAAGTAACACAGACTCAGTACAGGAACAGAAGCTATAAAAGTAGTAAAATCTGGTATCTATTCGTGAGACTCCAAATGGGAAAGCTGCTTTATAAACTAGAAAACCTTAGAAAACAGAAACTGAAGTTTTAAAAGAAGAACTAAAGTAAATATCCTGAACCGATACAGAAACAAATATTCAAACCAAGTGATTTCCAACAGTTGTAAATAAAAACAGTAACAATGACACAGAAAGGATTATTCTGGATAAAACAGAATTTTTAGAGCATTAGATAATCCCAGAGAAGAGTTCACTGACCTTCTCATATTCAGCATACAGTAAAGATGATCACCCAATTCACCACACAGACGAAATCTCACCTTTGTCACTACATCAGTAGAGTTACACATTTAGTTCCTTACAGAAGTGGCTGAGAGAGACATTGACTCTCTTCCTGAGCATGCAGCAATGTTGTTATTACGAACCCTCTTTTTTTATGGTTAAGTAATGAAAGAAACTCAGGCTTATAGCTTTATCATTTTCATATGAAATAATCCTGTTGGTATTTTTTGCTAAAGAGACAATCCTGAATGTTGGTCCTCTTTTCCTTTTCCTCGTTTTCCTGGTGTTGCAGGTAGAATACAAACAGCTTTACTTAAGATCATCACCTTCCCTTTTCCAATATATGGTACAGGGTTCTTCACCGTTTTTTCACATTACGGATCCTAGATTTATACACTATAAATTTATTTATACATTTATAACTGTCAATTATGAATTGGCACTTTCCTCAAGTGGCTATGTTACCTCCAAACACAACATGCATAGCAAGAAGCAAAACAGCATAGCAGGAGTCATGAATCTCTTCCACACATGAACTAATAAACCCTGACACACTCCAGTTGGCACTGTATATCAACAGTTCAAGTGTTTGTACTAACAACAAATAATCCAGAACCCAAATAAGTCATTCACATTCAATTGTGACTGTCCTTTCTTTCTCCTCACACTGGTTTACTACAGATTTAACGTTACTTTATCCCAGAACTAGTACCCATTTATGAGAACAATTCAGGTCTCTAATACCTCCTTTGATTTCTCAGAAAACAAACACTGTTATGTCTTGAAGATAGCTTTGGACTTTGATCACTCCAAAGTGATTTATTACTGTCGATGCTAATAACCAAAAGACTGTAATGAGTTTGTTGGATAAATACTGAAAATACAAAATTATGAAACATGCCATATGGCACATCTAAATTAAGATAAGTTAGAAATATCCACAGCAAGAGTACTGGAAAGCATGACAGGAGAGGGAATCCCTAATGATTCTGAATTACTGTACTTACCTGAACACATAAACATTTGTGACACGAGCCGTGTGAACCCACAATGGAGAGGTGGGTTCCCATTACTTTATCTATGATTTCGCAGGTATCTTACACTCACAGAGGAAATGCAAAACACAGAAACCGGATCCATTCTCTAGAGGAAAGTGTTTTCTAATCATGCACTTATTTACCTCTGAAGTTTGATATTTCAGCAACAAGCCCCTAAGCTGAAGCCACTCCAGTCTACTACTTCCCCTCTTTGCCTATCTTCAATCCTCAGCCTTGTCGTAGAATTGTTTAGGTTGGAAAAGACCTTTAAGATCATGGAGTCCAACCATTAACTTAACACTGCCATAGCCTCAAGCACACTTGCTAAGCACCAAATCTTCAGACATCTTTACCAGTAAAGGCAGCTTTTGCAAAGCTTGGTTCAGGTTTCTAACTAGGGAAAAAAAACAATTAGCTTGGCCAAGGTAGAGATGAAAATTATATCAAGAGACAGAAGCACAGTTTCTGTGAAAGAATTCCAGTATAATTCTCTTTGTTTTAAATACAAAGCACACATTCATATGTGGTACATTAAATAGCAATGAAAGTAATTTACAAGTTTCCAGAAGTTAACAGAAGAGAGTAAGATTGTGGGTATTTTAGATTACACCTTGGTAGCTGTTTGAAAGCCATGTTATTCTAATAATCATTAATAATGATCACTATTTTAATCACTGAAAGTGCATATCATTACCAGAATAACACCTACCTCTCATAGATTGTTTTTAAAGTCAGCTGATCTGGAACACCTTCAGTCTCTTCAAGATGCAGTATGAGCCACGATGTTCTATACGGCCACTGCTCTGTGAGATTGATCCAACTAGCCAGTCTATCCCAACTGAATGTGATCTGATTAGCTCTCAATAAACGACCTAATATAACAGGGAAGGAGGGAAGAAACACAGGGGATTTTTTTCCCTTTTGAAAGATAACTTTTTTTTTCCTCGAAGTAACAGCTACTTAAGTCTTTTAACCTGAGCTGTGAACTTCCTGGTATTATATATTTAGCTCAGTAAGTTCAAAATCATCCCAGGTTGCACCTAAAAATATTCTTTGACAACCTAATAAAAATCCTTGTAAATATTGGTCAGAACACAAGACTCTCCAAAACTGTCAACTTCAGTCCCAGGTTAAACGCTAATTACTATCATCCCCTTATAGGTGAATTTTAAGTTACTTTAACAAAACTTTCATTTGAATTTCACACAGCATTAATTTCTCAATCTAAACACAAAAAATCATGCTAATACTGTGAAAGATCATCTGTGCATTCGCATATGAAATATGGTCAAAAAAAGTTAAGCATACAACTGCCATCTTCAATAGCCAATAAAGCAAAATTCAAAACTATAAACAAGACGGTTTTAAGTTAATAAGGCTAGGTATGAATTATAAAGTTAATTAAAAAAAACCAGAAAAATTTAATGCTACAAGTTTATGCATTTCAAGTTTTATCAAGTTTTCTAGAATTGCATTAACACTGGTGACGACGTAAAACTTACACCCTGAAGGCTCTGCTCATGACGCTATTCATGAAATCATCATACATAACCACAGATTACAGTACACTAGAAGTGTTCTTGCAGGGGTTTGTTTGGTTCTTTTTACAACTAACAGTTTGTGATTTTGTTATACTTTCACATCTGCACTTTAATGTGCCAAAATCAGACATTTCATGCTAGAAATTGCAATGACCATGCCAAGAGACTGCACATTTATTTAAAAGATTAGCTCAGAATTTTAGGTCTGTTGTCACATATGAATGATCATTAAAAAGGGAAAAAGCAGAGGAAAATGGGGAAAATGACATATTAACACTCTTATATTAATTATACTAGCATTAAGTTAATGGAATAGAAAATAAGACATGGGTTATTTTACTTAATTTATAATAGCATTTACATGTATTTCTTCATAACCTGAGTAAAGGTAAGTTAGGCCAATCCAAACTACACAAGCACTGGAATGGAACTGCAGCGACAGCCAACCCCTCTACATTACCCAGGTTGGTTTGACAGAGCTGAACCTCAGCTCAGAGACAAATAACTGTGTCCTTGTATCATACTTCCCACTGAGAGAACCACCTCGGCACTGCACCAGACCTGAACCAGTTTCACGTACTTGTGACATGCTGGAAATAAGTTCTCCCAAATGCAATGCTAACTTAGGCAGTGGCTGCAGCATTGGTTGCAGAAACCTGCTACAGCAGTATCAAATGGATCAGGAGGAATCAATTCAGTTTTGGCCTGTATTATTACACCGTGCATCTATTCATAAAGTGAACACCCTAAGTGAGACCTGAGATGGTTGCAGCAGGTTTCTTAGCTCCAGCTATGAGCTGTGCAATAGAGATAGGCTAATTTCCAAACTGCACCCAGTGCAGGCAATATGGCTACAACCACTTGATGCAGAACTTAATGTTGAATCTGTTGAACCCACCCTTCATATGCCTGCAGGGAACTGCAATACTTCTGGATCTGTGAAATTCCTAAAATTCTCTCAAATTATTCAGCTCTTGTTAGAAAATTAAGAGAATTTTCTCCTGAAGCATTAAAATGTTACTGTAGAAAGACACAGATCATATTTCTAGAAATGACAATGGTCATTTAACATAGTCTTTTATTGCTAGTATTACTGGTAGAATCATACTGTAGTCTTCCTAGCAATCAAATTTTATTAGGCTTACTGAAATCAGAAGTTTTAGAGATTCTATTTTCATTAACATAACCCAGAGCTTGTGATAATTTGATTATTGTTGAAATAGCTAAAAAACAAGAGCAGAACTCTTTTCCTTCAAAACAGTAATATTCACTTTGTTCTCCATTTGTACCACATACTTGTCATTTAGTGAGATCTTTTATCATAAAACCAGGAACACAGATTAGAAGAGTTCAAGAGGCACAAAAACAACTAATCTGTTTTATTCAGGTGAAGAGTTCTACAGCACAGGAGCTGTAGAGAATAGGATTAATGTCACCTTCCAAGACTCTCCTTAAAGTGTAATGCAGGAAGCTGTAACCAGGATCAATTTGTTAGGGAAGAGCTCAAAGGTGCACTGCTTCTTCTAAAAGACTCCACTGATATCTAATGGGTCAACAGGAAAGCTACAATTGCATGCAAGATTAGATATGAAGAAAAGAAACAAAACAAAAGCAGAAATAGCTGTATAGTAAATGCAACATTTTTCCAACTAGCTATTCCAAATTTAAAAGTATTATTTGTCCTTTCCTAAAGTCAGCCATAGGCAAAAGAACAACTGTTTACTGTCTCTTCAGTCATTATGCTACTTATTATTTTATGAACCAATAACCTTGCTTACTAGTGGCAAGAAGTTCTCCTGAACTAACCTTCCTGTTTGCATCCTATCTTATCTAAAGAATGTAACTTAATATATTAAATATGCATGCTAAATAGTACTAAAATATTTTTAAGCATTAAAGAGAATACATTTGACATATCTGTGAATCCTGACATTTTCCAGTTAGGTGTAAAAACTGTTAATATTATTTATTTCACAGAATCACAGAATGGCTGAGGTTGGAAGAGACCTCTGGAAGTCATCTGGTCCAACTGCCCTGCTCAAGCAGGGCGACCCAGAGCATAGGACTGCGTCCAGAGGGCTTTTGAATACCTCCAAGGATGGAGACTCCACAACCTCCCTGGGACACCTGTGCTAGTGCTTAGTCACCCTCATAGTAAAAAAAGTGTTTCACTAGCATCATTTGCCTCCCAACTGAAGTCAATGTAACAAAAAACTTTTTTTTTTTTTAATTCTGCATAGTCAATAATCTTTGCTTGCACTCTAGAAGAGTTTGCTTCAGAAGGATTTTCAAAAGCAACACATGGACCAACTTGTTAAATTTCGTTTACACACTATAAAGTCTAACTACCAGCAACTAGAACACAATACTGTTTACTGTACACAAACATGCCACACTTACCTGTTACTGAAACAATATTTAGCAATCTTCTCATGGTCTGAGGACTGATATCACTGAACCAATCCTCTGTAACCAACAGCTTGGTCAAATCAAAAGACATTTGGCGGGTAATGGTACGTTGCATCTGGCGTCTTCGGTAAGTGTCCTGATAATGATACAAAAAAGCAAGGAATACTGATTAGTATCAAAAACTTCTATGTATTTGAAATACTTCAGTTTTACTTGATTATAATGTTAGAACCTTTGTGAATATATGTCTCTGAGGCTGACAAGAAATACCATACAAAAAATTTACCAGAATTTAATTCTGATTTAGCTATGTAACAGTTGAACATGATTTCCATATAAGCCAAGAACTGGTAAGAGTTGTACATTTTACTTCCATACCAATTCTGAGAGGGCAAAATAGTGACACAGTGTGATATTTTGTAAAAAGGTTACTAATTTCAACATTTCAACATCATCATTCCCCACTGTCTCTACAAAAAGTTAATGCCATCCATTTACTAATTACATTTTAAAATCGAAGTGAACATCAGGTTCCTCTGCTACAAAACTCCCAAAGTCCCTACTTGCGGCAGCTCAAAAAACTCAGAATCCTCAGACTCTGCATTGCTTTTCACTACTTCCTAGATACCTTTTATTCAACCACTTTCTGATTATATGTAAAGATGGGAAAACAGAACAGAAAGCAGAAAAGAAAGTGTAGTGGACATGTTGCAGTAAAAGTCTAGTACTATTAATATCCTAAATTCCTTGATTTGCTCCATTACTGACCCTTGTTGTAACATCCTGTGACCAAGTGATACCGGGCTTATGCACAAAAATCCAAACAAGACATACATACATAGATCATAGCTACCACCAGTTTGCTGTAGCATCTCAGCATTCACAGAGAGCTGAATTTAAGTATTTGTGGAAAAGAACACTTTGGTGAGCAATGCCCTGGTTTCAGCTGGGATAGAGTTCCTAGTAACTGGCATAGTGCTGTATTTTGGATTTAGGAGGAGAGTAATGTTGATAACACAATGATGTTTTAGCTGTTGCTAAATAGTGCTTATATTAAGTCAAGGAATTTTCAGCTTCTCATGCTCTACCGACTGAGGCGGCTGGAGATGCACAAGAAACTGGGAGGGGGCACAGCCGGGACAGCTGAGCCAAACTGACCAAAGGGATATTCCATACCATGTGACATGCTCAGTATATGAACTGGGGGAAAAGATGACTGGGGGGCAGCTGCTGGGGAACTAGCTGTGCACCAGTTGGCAGGTGGTGATCAACTGCATTGTGCATCACTTGTTTTGTATATTCTTTTATCATCATCATTATGATTATTATTTCCCTTTCTGTCCTATTAAACTGTTTTTATCTCAACCTACAAATCTTACCTTTTTTTCCTCCCCTGATTCCCTCCCCCATCCCACTGAGGGGTGAGGAGCAAGTGAATGGCTGTGTGGTGTTTAGCTGCCTGCCAGGTTAAACCACGACAGCAAGCAAACTTTCCTCTTTGATAGAGCATCAATCTACTGATTTAAGAACATACTTTTCCTACATAGATCATTTATATTCATTTCATAAGAATGCTTTGATAAGTCTTCCAAGTTGACATCATTAAAAACATGAAAGAAAAAAATAAAAGAACAGAAAAGAAAGAAGGTATCTCCATTTAGTCTAAAAATCTTTCTCACCCGCCTATTGAGAGCGGTTTTGCTACCAAGCTTGGTCATGTCTCCAAGACTGTTCTGAGACACTCTCCTGTCAACCTCTTCATGCAATCCTATGGAAAGGAAAACAAAAGGCAGGCATTTTCTCCATTCATGTACATCTGGCCAATCCATAAAGTAAAACTAATGATCTGCCAATTATTTAAATAGTTTATTCCATAAACCAGATTTTTGGAACATTGATTTTGTAACTTTCGTATCATCCTCCTGCATAACCTTACCTGTGTTATCTGTATAAGGAATATCCCCATTGGTTGTTGAAGCTACCATCAGTTTTTTTGCATTACTAAGCCCTCGGCTATTCAGAAATACAGGCAAATGGACTATGTTTCGCATGTAATCGTGTCCATTTATGTTTGAATCACGCAGAACACTGTTGAGATTCTGGTTAATAGCCTTTATAATAATATGTGGGTCACTTGCAAAAATAGCAATAAATGGGCCTTTTGAAAACAAGACTCGTACCTGTAAAAAAGTAGACAGTACACCTTGTTAATAATAATTAATAGTAACTGTGGATTATTTGAACATCTGACTCAACATTGTATAATCATTCTGTTCACGTTATAAACTTGAGAGGACAAGAGATGTACGGAGATGTCAGTTTATTCATTATGAGAGATCTAATGTTAGGAACTTACAATTAGAAATAAGCATACTTAACCTGTTAGCAGGAGTAGATACAGTGGAAGTCATCACCAAGAAGGTATCATGCAGTAATGTCCTAGCCCCTCCCCAGATAGTTAGCAGTTAAGTATTTTTCGTCTAAAGTATTTCAAAAGTATGAAAAACTCTCCAAACATTGTCAGTTTGTTTCAACAGGATACTAATTTTCAATAATTTACATCTGATTATTTCAAAACTTTTCTCAACTATTAACAGGTACAGTCTTACTGGGATTTAACTTTCAACTTTTAAAACCCATTGCTCTTAGTATTACAGTTATGCCAATGTACACAAACATTAAAAGACTACAACACAGACTCTGTATACATGCCGCCTTTCTACAGAAAATACAATAACTACATATCTGAGCTCATCTATGGAAGAGACCATCCAGATGATCTAGAGATCATCTATATAAAATGAACCAACTCACAGTATCAAGCATCTGTAAAACTTTGTCCTGTTCACAAGCATCCAATCCATCAATAATTACAACAAGCCTTGTCTGGTTCTGAGTGAAGCTGTCAATGGTTTTTGCCATTTTGGCCATCAGTTCCACTTCGCATTTCAAAACCTATACAAATGAAAAGCAAAGAAGGAAAAGACATCTCTGTAATACTTAAAACTCACAAAAATGCATATCATTCCTTTGGCAGATCGCTACTTGTCCCAAAAATATTTCAATAAGATTACAAAAATAATCTCTTATAAATACCCAAAGTGAAAGTCCTAAAATGTCACTTCCAAAATTTTAATTTGGAATAATTTTTATTATTTCTACAAAAATGTACAGCAGAACCCCATATTCCACTTTAATGTAACAAACTATCCTTATTTAAATTCCATTACATTATTTAAAAAAGTAATACTTATACACTGCAAATCAGTATTTCAAGAGTAAGCAAAAGAGTATTTGTAGCTTCAGCTAATCCTTAAAAATTGCTTTGCATTAAATGTACATTAAAATTTTCTATTGCCTTCCAGCCAAGTAAATTATGTTATTACTCTAATGTTTAGTCATTCCTATCAGGATATGCAATCTGAAGATTGTTTTAAGTTTCTCAACATTAAGTTACAAATTTAACAACTACCCTTAATACAGAAACAAAGGTGGAATTCACCTGCCCTAATTTCAGCAACTAACAGGTAGACATTAAAATTGGATCTATTCACCAATAGATTAATCTTGAATGCACAGATAAAAATGACACAAGTCATATGAATAACTCTTCAGAGAAACCCACTTCTCTCCTTTGACTGCAAAGGGTGAACTTAACTCCTAAACAGCTCAAATTATGCCAGATAAATACCACTTAAAAAACAAGTCAAGCAACACAGTAGCAAGACATGGATAAGGTCTTCTCTGCTACAAAAATATTTGCACAACATATCATTATACAATGTATTAGCTGTTATCTGCAGAGGTAACCATCACGATGCTGAAGTTTATTTTCAAATAGGAGCATATAGGATATTCAATGACAGCCTGATGGGTACGGTTTTTATTAGTTTAGATACAAACCAGCAAAACAGTAGTATTTTCTATCTTTTTTTATGAAATATGTGAACTGTTTTGGAATGTTCTTTCAGTGCTATCATTCCTTTCTTAGTAGAGAGCTCTTGCAGACAGCCAAAGTTAGGCTTGGTTTTTCACCTTTAGAGTATTTTAAAAGTCACTCTTTCTAATCTTATGATCTAAAGTAAGCTTTTACTAAATACTGACCATTTAGAACAATTGTTTTCCTAGCACCTTCCTCCCAGCAAAACCAGAATTAGAAACTGAAAACTTAATCCAAATTCTTGGTTGAGCAGACAGATCTCATACATTAAGCATAATTACCAGTGGAACAGAAGTATTCCCTTCAGTAAAAACTCACCAAGGCTCAGTCTAATGTTGTGAAACTTGGCCTGCTTAAATAAATGGTGTCCCATCCTGAGAAGGCTATAGGTTTGGGGTGTTATTTCAATGCTTTTAATGGCCAATTGATATAATGCTTACCTTCATGAACCCCTCGCTTTTCAACTTGTGAAGCTTGGAAGCAGCATTGTGAAGACGTTTCCTTTGAGAATTCAAAACTGAATCCATCACTTGCCACCATGTGCGACAATTCAAGATAAAGGCCAAACCAACAACACAGGTAACTGATATAAGAATAACATTCACTGTCATGTTGGCTGGTTCTACATTAAAAATCGCCAGCAGGGCAATCGCAGAAACAACACAAGACAATATGAACAGGAAAATCACAAAGGATGGGAGACAGCAAGTTTTCTTCCATTTCTTTTTACCTAGGAAACAAGTATTTGTTAAAATGTTAAAAATAATGCAAAATGTAATTACAGCTGAGTACAAAATCTATTAACTTGCATACTTCTCATAAAACACTAACTTGCACAAAAGGTTACTGCAGTGTTACCATCACATCAATATGTGAAAAAAATAGTCTAAATTTGCCAAAAATCTTGGAAATTACGAAGAGGAGATATTACTTTAATCTTCAGTTTATTTCCATTGTTTCAAGAAATCCACACAGGATGGAAATTATCTTTATTAAATAGATTTTGTATCAGTGGTGTAATCCCCTTTGTGACACCTCTCAGTAAAGTGTATTTGTGCAAGTAAATCCTAGGAAAACAGTATGGTAACTACTCAGTTTTAAACAGAAACATGATACATAACCTAATAGTAATGGTGCCAATGGAAAACTAAGTCAAAAATGCGAGCCTGAGACTATCCTTTCTTGCATGCTAAAACATGCAAACAAGGGAAGACTGCAGTATGTAAAGTTTGGACAGATCACAAGGGCCTCAGAAGAGAATATAGACCTCCCGACTTCAGTTAGATTGATAAGGAAGAGACAAAGAAATACTGCAGCTGGAGGTTAGCACAGCTAAAGCAGTGATCAAAGAAATAGCTTTTTTCCAAAGTAGCAGCTTCTGCCTCTAGGATCTGCACGCACCTAGTGGTGTGCACATCTAGAAGATACACATCACCTGTACAAATTTGTTGATAAGAAAGAACATAGTAACAATCTGATGCAAAATGATGACAGTTAAAAATCAATATTTGAACTGGAATGGAAAAGTTAGACTTTAAATATGGAAATTCATGGAAAGAGCATCCAAGGTTTATACGCAGCCTACGTATGATATTCTAGACTGGGGTATGATCTGGAAAGGTTTATCACATTACTGACATATGTGACTGACAGGATTGTGATGCAGGATGAAGAAACAGAAATGCAGAAGGACAGAAGTGAGGGGCAAGAAGAGAGGAGTAACAGCTCAGTTATAATTACATTCAGTTCCAGACATTCTAAGTAGGAATGTAAGCTTCTTCTAGCTAGAAAGAGCTAAGAACTGGATTAGAAAGAGACTTCGGAACCATCAACGACAAAATGACAATTGAATAGGCTTCTCTGTGAGTTTACAGATGTAACAAAAATTAAAGATATAGCAGACTAAAAAGAAACCCATATAGAACTTCTATGAACATCTGGAGACAAGAAACCTATGATCCTAGACCTACAAACATCTGAAGACAAGGAGAAGATCTGCAAGATCATCAAATAGAAATTTCTTTTTTAAATAATCAGTTAGATAATTAGGAAGAGCACAGGAAGGCAACAGAGCCAATGAATTCAAGAGAAATGTACGATTACAAATGAATGGGAAAAGATGATTACTGAAAATAAGGACAAAAAGCCAGCATTACACTGCCATTCTCAAGTCAATTTTGGGAGAAAGTACAGCATCATAAAAGCTGTTTCACTGAGGTGAAGCAAAAGAACTGCAGAACGTCTGTCATAGAAATAAGGGTGAAAAACTCCACATATCATTTTCATAAAGAACATTTAGTGAATTTGAGAAAGAACAATGAAGAGTAAGTGGTATTCAGCACATACCATGTTTTTTTTTCACCCTCTGCAAGACAGGAGAGTCTAAACATTTCATTTTGTAAGAGAAGACAGCATCTAACGGATTCCTCATTTTGTGGTCAAGATCAAAATGAAATGAAAATTAATTGACTGAAACTGAACTCAAAGTAGAAAGAAGTCCTCTGTGAATTGAAAGGTACCCTCAAGAACTCCCTTTCTTCACAGTATCATATTCTGTTCTGCATATTTTTTTCAGAAATCTAGAGATAGGACAGAACAAAAAATTCCATTTGGATCAAGTGGGAGTATTTTATCCCATCTTACCAGCACTGATCACAGCAATTTACGGCTTTGGACCAACATGTTCTATACATTTATGATTTCCAAGAACAAGTAGGGGCCACTCATGAAAGCTCTGAATTAAAATCTAATACACTAAACAGAAACTTCTCTTAGCAATACACAAAGGTTTACCTTTCCCTTTATTTGACTCAGACACAAATGACTTACTTGCTATGGAAAAATATATGCTGCATCTAAAAGGATGTAACAAATTTCCATTGCCAATTCTGAAAACTATACTTCACAGAAGATATTCCAAGATGAGCAAAGAAAACAGGGCATTTTTCTCTCAAAAACAATACAAAGAGTTTCCCCTTCCGTATGAATTTCTGCATGACTACAACAGTTTCTAAAAAGAGCTTATGATGTGAAAAATAGAACTCCTGATAACAGTGCATTGAAATGGAATAATCGGAAATGTCATTTAGGTAATAAAAACCTTGTGTATCTTCTGTCTTGAAAACTCGAAATAGCCTTGTTGCTAAGAAACCAAATTCCCTTTCACACGCATCAGAGAGGGTAGCAATCATTTCAGCCAGTGAAGTTTCTCCACCTACACTGGACAGTCTATTGTAGTCTGTAAACAAAAATCTGAAAGAGAAAAAACATGTATTTTGCATACTTTAGAAAGCTTTAAATATTTTCTGACAACCAAACCAAAAATCTTCCTGCATCTCTGCAGCTAAAAGTTTTTTCAAGTGGCACAAAATGTAAAATACTTAAATACTTAATTTTTTTAAACTCTACATGGAATTTCAGTATTTTTTTCCTTATTCTTTCTTCTGTTATCAACCTCTTCTTTGCCCCACTTCCTGTCCTAAAACTTGATTTCTTAAAGAGATAAAAATGATTGCATTACTAACACCACCTCAGAAAGCTGTAAAAACATAAAAGTATCTTTACAATGCCAAAACATAATATTGACAAGTATTTTTAAAATTGCATTCTGAGCTATTTTCAAATAGATCGCATAAAAGCACCATGAGGCTAAAATACAGGTCTCTAAACAATAGGAGTAAACAGAACTATAAAACACGTGGCATAAATTTGCTTGCTTTCAGGTAAACTAGAAGCTTTGAGCAGTCTGACGGTCTACTTACAGAAAAAAGAAAAGAAAAGGAAAAGGAAAAGGAAAAACCTTAACAGAAGTAATCAGTGAAACAAGCTTTAAATGTAACACACAGTAAGCTACACCAGAAAACTAAATTCTTACACTGTTTGTTCTAAATTTTTATTAGTTTGATAGTCAAAACCCCCCATACTAAAAAGCAGTAACTTTCACCAACTTTGGCAAAAAGTTTTTCTTGAAAACACTACTATCTTCTTCACACTGAAAAATTTAACTACATGATCTCTTAGGGTTACTGTTTTCCAAACAGGAACCTCAACAGCTTTTCATAGGAAGATAAACACACACATTAATACACACAGTTTGAAAAGTATCAGAGTAAACCTGAATTATTCATTCAAAAGTAAATAAATACAATAACTAACCTGACAGGTAAAGCTTTAGTGGTCTGCTCTGGTAATTCTGGTGGGTTCACAAACATGAGTTTGAGAAGCAACTCTAAATATCCAATGTGTCTTGCCAACCTTGTACTTAACATCCAGGCCCAGTTCCAGCTCTCACCTTCTCTTCGGCCACCAAAGTAAATCACAGCTAAAATATTAAAAATTTAAAAAGATGTTATGGCTATATCTTAGTCAGGATTCAGAACTGAAAGAACCATGAAGTTTGAGCAGATAAGGCATGGAGTTGGGTAAAAGGAGTTGAATGAATTGTTAACAATTATGGCTAAAAATTAGAATGGTAAGAGTAACATAATGAAGTTATCGTACAAAATTCTTCTTTGTTTTCAAGAATGACCTCTCACAAATTACAGGCAAAACACAAGGAAAAGGTCCAAAGGGGTCCTTTTTTCTACAGAAACTTCTCGTATTTTTTCTGAATCACAAAGCATGCCTACAAAATACTGAATTCCAAAACCAGATAAAAACCTTCACAAACGTCATATAAAATAAGACTTACTAAAGAAAATGTAGAGAACCGATAATAAGCTGAGTGACACTGCTATTCCAAGCTTTGCATCCACTGTGAAAGCAAGCAATAAACCTAAACCTCCGCACAGCAGAAGTGTGAGGAATACAATAAGCCAGGAGAACTGAAACAGAGGTTCAATCTGCTGTCCTGCGAAAGTCTTCATTTCATCTATAACAAAAAGACAAAGACCAGTTAATATGCTAAATTATTCTAGAACAGAAAGCAAAAAAGGTGTTATGATCACCTTTGAAAAGAAAGTAGGGCCAGCTGTGTTAGGACAAGGGGAAATGGTTTTAAACTAGAACAGGGTAGGTTCAGGCTAGAGGTAAGGAAGAAATTCTTTACAATGAGGGTGGTAAAACACTGGAAGGGGTTGCCCAGAGAGGTAGTGGAGGCCCCATCCCTGGGAACATTCAAGGCCAGGTTGGATGGGGCTCTGAGCAACCTGATCTAGTTAGCAGTGTCCCTGCTCACTGCAGGGGGGTTGGACTAGATGACCACTAGTGGTCCCTTCCAACCCTAAACATTCTATGATTCTATGATTCTATGAAATACTTTTTCACTAGACAGTATAACTTTTTCCTATTATTGCTCAAAAAAAAACCCCAAAAGAACCCCAAACAACGATGCTTGAATTCTTCTTCAAACATCAGTGCAAAACCCAAAGTTTTCCTCCATGCAATGAACGAAACCATTTAAATATGTAATACTTGCCCTGTTTCCTGCAGATTTTCTACTTTTAAAGGCATATTAGAAGCCAGGCTATTTCCTATCCTCCTTCAAAAATTCAAAATACATTTTATCACACCAATAAAAATAAATTCATCATATCTGTAAAAAAAAAAAACCCAAAACAAAACCAACAACAACAAAAAAACCAACAGCCAAAAAAGCCCCCAAAACCTCCATCACTGAAATCTGGACCACATTCCTCAAATGGTCAGATATAAACAGTACGATGTAAAGGTTTCTGTATTTATTTCTGTTCGTTGATTCATATTTACTAAAACAGGAATTCCTAAAGAAACTTATTTAGGATCTATTGAATAAGAAACATTAAATAAATAATCCAGAATAAAAAGATGAATGAAGAACACGAAGAAAATACTAAAAAGTGGTTTTAAAACATAAGAGCTCATAAACAATAAACATCACAGTCAAAAATGCAGGCTGCTTTTTGTTTATGACATGGGGCATGAGGTAAACAAAATCAACATAGAGAACCCACTTTAACTAATACAGAAGCTTTTAAAAACATACAAATCACAGAAAGTAAGAAACATCAAGACTGGTAAAAGTATTTTTAATTATAGCAAAACATCTCAGAAAAACATCCTTTGTTAGAAAAAGCTAAAACTGTAAATAAGATGCCTATTTCCACTGTGAAAAATATTGACTCTCTTCATATGCTGCATTTGTCTTCCTCTGTCATTTCAGAGAGTTCAAAAAGCTCAAAGTAAATAAGGGAAAGGGGAAGAAAACCAGACACAGAGAAAACACATTACAGAGAAAAAATATTAAGAGCCTGGATTTGTTCTTAAGCCTCAACCCTGCCCCCCCCCAAATGACACACAGGAGGCACAACAAATAAATACTGCAGAAAAAGCAGTCTGAACCTGATTTGACACACAAGCACCCCAGCAAGGCATATTTCGGCAGCCATACTTTCAGCAGTACCTAAAGGGTAGATTCACTGCCCACAGGACAATAGACAGCAACACTTAAAGACTGTCTTCACATTGTATAAATGACCAAAGCATTTAAATCCTTTCATTACAGAAGCAGAGACTGGATACAACATTACATGGACCAATGGCTGTCACAAAACCTAGTAACTCCCGTATGATGCTTTTCATCGATACATTTGAACGTACAGAAAAGGCTAAATCAACTTTTACCTTCCAGTTTCTTGAGCAGGAAGGATTTTCCACTTCCCCATTGTGCATATAAGCCTACACAGATAGGTGGCTGCATGGTTGGTTCACTCAGAATGTCAGCCAAAGCACTGCTGTACAGATCGTAGCCCAGCATGTCACCGTCAGATTCCGTGGGAGACAAGTGTCCTGTAACAAGAATACTGTATTACAGAACTTTGCTTTAGGAAATCTCTTCAATGTGACAATTTTCATATACAAAATACTTACAGGTTCACCTATATTTGTATATATATTCCTCCCATATAATAACTGTTATCATTGGGACATTCTTGTTCAAACGAATTTTAAGTCATCCACATAAATGTTGTATAATTATCAAAACCATTAGAGCTTACCAGAAAAGACAAACAAAATCCTAAGCAAGTCAAAGAAATTAATTCCTACACAAGCAAGAGCTAAGCAAAAGAAAAACAATCAACAGAAGTCACACAGTATCCAATGTCAAAATTCAAAAATAAAAGGTACATTGACCTTTTTTAGGCTTTTAGAAGGATGAAATTTTTTTGCCACCTAATTTTTTTAAAGCTCTCCCATTAGTTGCAACATTAAAAGAACTAAACAGTTACCACTTCTCAATACAGAATTGAATAAACTGGATTCTCAATATACAAGTGATTAAAAAAATATAAAATTAAATACTTATATACTTACTGGCTCCAAATATCTGTGTTAAAATACTCTTCTGGTGACTACAGTCTATGTTGTAAGGTGTTTCTCCTGTTTTGTTGGGTCTATAAAGCAATCTACCATCTTTCGGATTTCTTAAGAGTAATTCAGCAAGTTTACGGCTTCTTCCACGAATGGCAATATGAAGTGGAGTATCTCCTTTCTGCAATTAAGTGAAAAACTAGTCATACCTAGTGTGAATTCCTAAAATTATGAACAGACTGTATGTTCCACATCATTTCAGATGTGTTATTTACTTGAAATACATCTTAAGGTATTCTCAACAGCATTAACACCTTACAGCAAGTGTTTTTTTACCCTCGAAAAAGCATTACAGAAGTTTCAGAAAAGACATGTGAAAAGGCAATTCTTATAATACTAAATCTAAGGCACTATCTTCTGTCTTAAACGTTTATAGTAATATCTTAAGGTTCATGAAAACTGTAGTCTCTACTTATAAACAAGTGTCTACTAGCAAATTCAGAGACTTGTCTGGAACATGAGATGCTGCTTGTTAGAATTATTTTGATGTCTGCTCAGACTTCTCCAAAAAGCTTTCTGGCAGAAGTTTCCTTATTACATCAAATCAACGTTATTACTTATTTGCCCTAAATATAATACTAAGAGCTTAAAAGAGTATCAAATAAATGTTCCTGTATTTAAAAGGTTTACAGTCAAAGTAGAAAATGTGTAAGAGGACAGTAACCGTTGTATTTGTCCTTGGCATTGCCTAGTTTAATATCTATTAATCAAAACCAAACATCAGTGACAAATAACAACCACTCTCTATGCTCTTTTTCAAGTGTATTAAGAATTAGTATTCTTAGCTGTGATATTTTTATTCCTGACCTGGAATTTTTTCTTTTCATATTACTAGAAGTACCTTAATACCAACAAAAAAATCAATAAATTAATGGTGGGAATTAATTTATATTTAAGTATTCTGATCTATTTAATTCTTAAGCATACAGGAGACTGAGCATTTAAGTATCATGGTCTATTTAACTATTAAGCATATGGGAAGCTCTCTTTCTGTATTAGCCTTGACACCTCGCTACAAAATTACTAACTATACTAAAGTAAACAAACAAATACCCTTTACCTTGTCTACAGCAGAAACCTTAGCTCCTTTATCCAGAAGAAGCTCTACTATTTCAATATTTCTCATCTTGGTTGCCTTTATAAGCGGTGTTTCTCCATCCTAAAAGGGAAAAGTAGGCCTAATAAAACCATCTTCTCTAAATACCAAAACCAAGCAAAACCTAGTGATAGCATAAAAGTTTGGGATTTAATTTGTTAAGAGAAATTTTTAATTAAATATGTTACTGTGCAAGTAACAACACTTAAGCGCATGTTATGGAAAAGGCATCACAGAGCCTGTATTCTAGATTGATTAGAATCACAGAACAAAATACATTTCTGTTAATAACAGTGTTAGAGAAAGACAAGATTCAGATATAATACAAGATATTTGAAAAGAGACTCATGGAAGAGATAATTCACCACTGTACACACTACCTCCTCTATTTTTTTTATTCCTGCACATGCGGGAATGCACTTCCATACTTAGTAATATCAGAAATTTCTTTTCTTGGTTTCCAGTAGCATCTGATCTCTGCCTCCTTATTGCTGGCCATGTCAATGACACTGAGGTAAAGTATCCACACTTTCCCTGCTTATCATGTTTTAGTAGTAGGCAATGTTTATGAACAAAGGGGACATTACCATTGCTGAAAATAAATTCCGTATTTCAGAAGAATTTTTTTTTTTTACAGCATGCAAAGTACACTTCACAAAAACTGAATTTGTATTATGATCTTAATGTCACATAGTAGTTGAGAAAAAGAACAGATGTTAAACAAAGCAATCCAATTAAAAATTCTAATAGTTACCTTTGTACATGTTTCAGTATCAGGGTTGCATTGCAAGATATCCCTCACCATTGTAGCATTTCCTTTCTCAACTGCCCAATATAAAGCAGTTTTATTATCCTGAAAAAAAGAGAGTGTTAAATGTTGAGTACTTTCATTCAGTTGCATTAATTTCAAAAACTGTAGATAAAGTACAACCACCATACTGAAAACAGCACATAATACAGCAAATTTTAGCACAGTTCAGGGCAAAGGGAAATGCCACCAAATCCCATTGGCACACCAGTAGAAATCTGGGGGGGGAATGGAAATCTAGCTAGAGAACACTATTTTAAAAACCTGTGCAAAATATATTAAAAGATTTAACCTGTCTTGAAACAGTTTCCAAAACTGTGAGTATTCAGTTGTAACTCACGTATACAAGTTTTCTAATGAAATAAAACAGCTTTTTTCTACAGTGTTGTCTTTTTTTACCCCTATTATGGAAGCCACATTTCTCTGCAGCTTTTTTTTTTTTTTTTAAAAAAAAAAAAAAAAAAAAAAAGATTTCTCTCCTATTAGAACATGGAAGTGCTAACCACTGCCGGACCTTTAAAAAGATTTCCATTTTGTTCTCAATTTCACAGTTTAACCTAATAAAACTGTTGAACTGGTTGCCTGGCCTAAAAACAGCCCATGCAAGCTGGAGAGCTGTAAAAGTAGATGGACACGAAAGTGAACACAAAGTACCAGAAAACAGATCAGCCATACATTGTATCACTGAACCAGAGGGAATGGTTCATAGTTGCAAATCTGCTTGTGTCATCTTTTCTTTTTCCCAGCCATGTGTGCTACCCCAGAAAGTCTCCATGTCTGCAATCTTTATGTAGCCTAGTGACTGCACCACAACTCTTTGTTTGATGCACACTTGTGTAGAGACATTTAAGAAAAAACTCTGAAAACACAGC